TAAAAAGTTTTAAATTGGCTCGGATTTTATGGATGTTACAGTGCACAATCTGCCAATAGGATGTCTCCACATCCTGGCGGTCCAGACAAGATAAAAACTACTGTCGAGGACATGCTCCTCCTCCGACAAGTATAAAGGATGTTACAACTAGCATTTTAGGGCTAGGAAATTCTGTCCACGTGTAATTAACTCCTGATGTATCTTGTAACCCTAAGTTTGATGTTATACAAGTTATTCATTCACAAACGACAATTCAAGTCAAAACTCACTTGTGAAAGCTCTAAACCTAATTCAATACGCTGCATTCACTCAACTTTGGACTTGAAACCCTAACATCCCGGTTCAAACCTCTTAAAGGACTAGGATTCTCTTATTGGGCCTAATGGGCCAGTAACCCCTCAACTTGGTTCTTTTGGGCTAAGAATCCTCATTTGGGCCCCATTTAGACCCACATTCGTTAAATAATAGTATTCTAGGCCATAAGACTCTTCGTGGGCCTTATTTGACCGAAAACCACTCATTTGTTTTCATTGCGCCGAAAACCCATTTCCCTTACCCTTTTTGGGCCGTAAGCTCATATGTGGGCCTCGTGGGCTGAAAATTTTCTTATTGGGCTTAGATATTCTCGATTGCATCATAAAAACCCAATCCCAAATATTGTTTTCTTTTCCCTCTCTCCTAATTCTCGATTAATAAAAAAAAGAGAAATGAAGGACTAATGTATACTTGACACCTCACTAATGACCCACATATAACCATGCATTATACACCATGTATCCATGCATGCCAACTATAACCATTAAGAAAATACCACAAAATCTCTTCCCCTTTCTCATCCTTAAACTCTCGGCCAAAGAACATCACCACCACCCTCATTTTCTTCTTCACTCTTAAAGGAAAACTCTCTGTTCTTTTCCTCCTCTAAAACCGTGGATGTGTGTGTGTTAGCTCAAGGAGGTCTTCAAGCTTGCAAACTTGGTAAGTTACTTCACATTCAAGATGTTTAACTTCATCTTATGCTAAGATTTTTCCTCAAAATCACACTATTTCCGTGTTTATGATCCTAGAACTCTCTTAGTTTCGAAAATCCCCTCAAAGGAGCATTCAAGACCAAAAATCTTCTTCATTCTTCTCTTCAAAACCCAACTAACACCAAGGTGAGCTTCATATCCCTCCTTTTTCGTGATTTACTAACTTTTGGGGGAGAATACAAGTTGGTTTTGTGTTAAATCTAAGTATTTATGCATGCTTGTGTGTATTTTCATGATATGTTGTGTAAATATGTTATGAAACTATGTTAAACACTCATAAACTTGATATATCTTCCAAGTCTTGAAGATATTAGGAAAACAAGTTACTTTATGTAACTCATTATGATGTTGAAAAGATTAATCATGTTAAAGGATACCATAAAACTAAAGAAAACCTAAAGACGGTCCATATTTGTCAAATAAGCAAAAGTGAGCCTTTTTATGATACTCACGGTTTTTGAGGGGTCAAAAGAGTCATTTTTAGATAAAAAGGGTTTTTATGACATTCACGGTTTTATGAGGTTCAAAAATGTTACTTTTTTCAAAATGGGCTTCTTATTGGGCCTTCTCGGTTTTTATTTGCCAAAAGTGTAAATTTCCATAAAAATGGACCTTATTTTAACCAAAAGTGTAAATTTCCATAAAAATGGACCTTATTTTAAGACCCACGGTTTAGTGGGCTTAAATTGTCATTTTTCATAAAAATGGGTCTTATGTGACAACCCACGACCTTATGGGCCAAAAGTGCCAATTTTCTTTAAAATGGGCTTTATTTGGAAATTCACGGTTTCATGGGCTTAAAATGTCATTTTTGATAAAAAAAAACTGGCCTTATTTGACGAAACATGATTTTATTGGGCTTAAAATGTTATTTTTAACAAAAATGGGCCTTGAATGTAAATTCTCGGCTTAATGGGCCAAAAAAATGTCATTTTTAACAAAAGTGGGCCTTTAGTATAAATTTCGCTTTTGTTGGGCCAAAATGGTTATTTTTAATAAAAGTGGGTCTTTTATATTATTTTGGTAATAATTGAGTTAAAACAAGCATTTTGATAACAAACGGACTAATTACGACATTTTTACTATAATTGGGCCTTACATACCCAATTACATGCTTATTGGGCCTTACATGCTTATTGGACCATGTTTGGTAATTTATTCCTAAATGGGCCTTATATGCTCATTTACTTCCTTATTGGGCCATTTCAACACATCCTATGTTAATTGGGTCGATATCCATAAATATTTGACATTTTGATATGAACAAATATATTTCTTATCACCAATGATTTGTAATCAAAATACATACTTGAAACATTATTTAAACTGTTAAACAATGAGACACACTATTCGCGTAGATTTAGTTAAGGCTCTTGTGAGACACCCCTTCATTCGTACCTATCTAGCGTACACCGCAAGCCCTGTAGTTATAACCAGAGTCTCTTGGAGGGAGAGCGAGAATTTGTGTATAGATCTATACGTGGTTGACACCCCCGCACCTGAGCTGTTCGCTACAACTAGACGGACCAGTCTAGGGTGACAAATGTCTTACCTAACCGACACCTGAAGAACGTCATGACAGGCAGATTAGTCATATCAAGTATGGTTATAGCGACTCACATAGAGATTAACAAGCACAATAAATTTACGGAATACACATACTATACTCTTGATACATTGTACAAACTATACATTTACTACATTACTCGGGTCTTGGGGTTTTTAAGACCACATCACTATTACAAACAGAAAATATCGAATTTTCTGGGAACATTTTTTTACACCACCAAACAAGAACACACATGCTTTAATACAAGATTTGAAACAAAACTTTCAAACCATTTTTACGGAAATATCGGATTTCTGGTGTGTACAAAACGATACAGAACTTTTCATACAAACATGCTTATGAACTCACCAACATTATATATGTTGACATTTTCAAAATAACTTGTATTCTCAAGAACTCGTTAATCAGGTGGGTCGATAAGGAATGAAGACTTTTACTGTATTTTTGTTTTCACCATACTTGATATTTTTGGATGTAACGTTTCATACAATTACAATGATGTAAACTATGATGGTTGTTATGTTTTATGTATGGTGATGATGTTGTCTACATCATTTTCTATATTACCCTGAAAAAAGGGATAATTATATATACAAATGTTTTCATTACAAAAACACGTACTCTCGTTGAATAAATTTTGTGAGACATTGTCTTCATTGTACCTAACTGAGGTATACACGAAAGTCCTGTTTTATAACCGGAATCTCCCATAAGAGAGCGTGATACTTGTGTATAGATCTATACGGGACTGATGAACCCACACCCTGACTGTTAGCTACAGTCAGACCGGTAGGTTATGGGTGACAAATGTCATGAACACTTCAACGCCTCAAGAACGTCGCGGCAGGCAATTCATTTTTAGCACGATTATGAAAACTGACATGGGGAAACGGCAATACGTTTATTTTACACGAATACATATTTCTTCAAATAGTTTTATATACGAATAAAACTATATATTACTGTTTTAGGTATGGAAATTTCTGGTACATTTTGGTCTTGGAACATTTAACGACTTATAACTCGTTTTATGGAAAATATCGGATTTTCTGGAAGCAAGCACGATTACTTTATATGGAAAGGCTTACAATTAATCATACAAACTCTTATGAACTCACCAACTTAATTGTTGACACCTTTTCAAACAACTTGTTCCTCAGGGAATCACTAAAACTGGTAACTACCAGCTTTTGAGGATGGGACGCTAAGGCTTCAAACAAATCTTTTGTCATCATATTGTAATTGACTTTTGAAACATGTAATACCTACAATGATGTAACTTTTTCAATTATATATATGATGGTTATGTTTGCTTTGATCATTTATATTCAATTGTTATGATACTGTACATGAAAGTCATCCACCCCCGGACATTTCCGCCATCCTGGTTTGGGGGTGTGCCATCACCTATCCTACTTGCGACATGCCTTTCACCTAGGCCACCGAACCAAATGAACAATTTAGCCTTAAATATTCCTTTCCTGTAAGACGGAAAAGATTCACCACGAACCGAACAATACCTATTTGTGACATAAAATGATGTGGAGTACACCCTCTTGTTCTTTCATCTATTGCATGACACACATCTGATCCCTTATCCCTTAAATATGGGAGGTTGGAAGAACACACTACTAGAAAAACAGCCTTTAATGACGCGCAAACAATGACACACAGTGATTTACGATATGCAAAAGCATGTGTCCTAAAAATAATGTCATCTCTTATAAAATTTGAAGGATAGAGGACACGCATTTGTGCGTGCCCTAAAACTAGTGTCCAAAAAAAACATGGAGGGCGCATATGATAAAATTTGTGTCGTGTGTGAACGTCGCTTTATATATTTTTTTTTTCATAACACATGTTTTAGAAGCTCGCGGGGGAAATGAAATTCCAAAATTTTGAAAAGTCGCCATGTTCTCATCTACCTTCTTTTTAATCGTTCTTCTCTCTCTCTCTCTCTCTCTCATAATCAAATACCAAAAAAACCTTCAATCGGAGAGCCACGATGTCTGTCTCACAGTCACTGCTCTTTTCTCCCACAACAGGATCACACCATCACATAATCTCTAATCTCCGACCGATGTCTCCACCCATTCTCTGCCCCCGCTCTAATTCGCTCAGTCAAATATCCAAAAAACGAACCACGATGCGCTTCTCCTTTCTCCCATACCATTCGACAGAAATCAAGGAGTCTCGTGCCTAAAATTCTATATAGGGCCACAAAATCGACTATTGTTGGAACTAGGGTTCCGGTTCTTAGTGAAATCAAAGGTATTTTTGGTCACCAGACCATGAAATTGAAATCAAAGGGGTACAATTGTTGGAACCACGACTATTGTTGGAACTAGGGTTTCGGTTCATAAGTCCTCCATCTACTTCTCTCGATCTTCAGTTCCTCAATGGAAGAGCTGTATCACAACTACAAAAATGCAGTAAACTTCTTTCTAGGGCTTGCCCTGTACTAATCCTTTAGTTGTAGATATTGATTTAGTGGATTTTATATTTATGTATAATATTAGTATGTTCTTTCTCATATTGTTGCTATTTTTTATGTGAAGAGAACAACAAATGTTGTCTAAAAAGCCAACATTGATCTTTTTGTTTTTTCAATTGTTATAGTTGATGAATATTGTTTGTTGGGTGTGTAAGGGTAAAATGGTCATTATTTTTTTGTATTCTATGTGATTGGGGCAATTTTGAATTCCTTTGGGCTTACCATTAAGACTAGCTACCATAGAACTTTCCAGGGGACAGTTGATTACATCTGGTGCACCATTAAACAAATTGCTGCTGAGAAGATCTCGTCTAGTTAAGGGCTAAGATGGTCATTGTCACTGCCACCTTTCTCAAGCATTATATGATTTTTATTGGGGGGGGGGAAGGTAAATTCAATGTTTTGTATGTACATTTGGAAAGTGTCATGATCATTTAATGGAGCTATTTTGCATACAGGGACATTATAGCTATTACTGCAGTCCATAATCTATGGTTAATATAACTAAATATTTTATTTATGAGGTTCTTTTCAGGCTATTTGAACGGGGTCTAGCTTATGATGGAACTGATTATCTTTCATTTTCTTTGTGGGATAAATACATTGAATATGAGTATCAACTACATAAATGGTCGAATCTTGCCATGATTTACACACGGATATTGGAGATTCCTAATCAGCAGTTGGATCGGTATTTCAACAGGTGATGATTGATATATGTTTTTTCAACACAATCTTTCTTTAATTAGTCAAGCCACATCTTTTCATTCTACTTTTTTTTTACTTTTGACAGCTTTAGGGAATTAGCTGCTAGTCGCCCTTTATCAGAACTGAGAACAGCTGAAGAACATGAAGCTGCAGCAAGGGCAAAAGGGGAATTCAAGAATCAAGAAAGTGAGGGTGAGATCCATCCGAATGATGGATAACAGAAGCTAAAGAGTTGGAGACCTATATTTCCCTTAGAGAAGAGCTTTATAAATAAACTAAGGATTTCGATTCTAAAATCATAGATTTTGAAACAGCCATCAGGAGACCTTATTATCATTTTAGGCCACTTAATGTTACAGGGCTTGAAAACTAGCATAACTACCTTGATTTCATTGAAGGATGTGATGACTTGAACAAAGTAATCAAACTATATGAAAGATGTCTAATTGCTTGTGAAAATTATCATGAGTACTGGATACGTTATGCATGTGTATAGTGACTTAATGTTGCATATCTGGATAAAGTGTTGCATATATAAAGTCCTTTTTTTTCCTGGACTGAATAAACCTTCCAAATGAAACTAAATGATCATATTACCCTTACATTCCAACAAACAATTTTCAGTATTCATCCATTTTTTTCTCATTTATTACTAAGTTAGGGTATATGGTTTTAGTTGAAGGTGAAGATGAACAAAGGTTTGTCTCTTTTTATTTATCATTTATTACTAAGTTTAGAAAATAAATGGAGACTAAATAAATGTCATAATTTTTGTTTATAGCTCCTTATCTTCAGTTTGCTTCTTGCTTCCAATGCTATGCCAGATAACAATGGAGATTGATGGATGTCGGTTAATAGCCTCTTCTGGAGCATATAAAGCAGTAAGTTATTAATACTTTTTACATAAATAATTGTTCCTCAATTTGCAATATGAAAGGGAATAAAAGTAAATAAATGTCGATATTTTTAATTTGAAGGTGGTGGAGTGTCTAATTAGGTTGGTTGAAGAAGATGGTGGGACAGTTGAGCAGAATGGTCCCATTTTCTTGGCATGTGATACCATTTTAAATCTTCTTTTAAAGGTATGCTATTTTGGCTATTTATTATCCTTATTTGTGATATTCTAATTTCTTTTATTCTTGTTTTTTTGTGGTATTAGAGAGAGGAGATTGGGGTCCACATGGATGATTCTTATTTTATCAAGTTGTTGGGGGTGCTGTCATCATGGGCAGGTATAAATATAATGTACCATCTATTCATTTCTTGGTTTATTTATTTATTTATTTTGGGAATTTTGATGTTAATTTAAATTTTTGGTTTTTCTCAGAGGATGATGTTGACTGGTAAGAATCTTATATTGGATTCAACATCCAAAACGGTTCTTGAATGCCATCCACATTTTACCAGTAAGAATCTAACAAGTGTATGCCACCTTATGAGGAGAAGTATGACATCATATGGTAAAGTAAGTTATCAAAATGCTCATTGACGATTATTCTTTATTTTTGTATGGTACATTAACAAGTTGAGCTAATATTTAACTTACTTAATTGGTGATTGGTATTTGTATTTTCTTTCAGGAACATTAACAAGCCGATGCAGATCTTGTTCAAATAGTTGTCTCGGGTATGTATGTCAGTTTGTTATTTTAATGTTATGCGGATCTTGTTCAAAATCATCACAAAAATGTATGTGTTGAAAAATCATCACAAAAATGTTTTCTCATTAAACATGCTTGTCCGTGCGGTTCTATTGGATAAGAAACCTGATGAGGTTCCCATGGTAAGTGTAATTTGGTGTTTTGCAAGTTTGTGTCACCACAACAACTGATTTCTCATGTTTTCTATGATACTATTCTGCTTGTGCATCTTGTAGAATCTGTGCTAAGTAAGGTCATGGAAGAGTTTGAGAATCGCATCACTAGTCAAGTTGAACTGGTAAAGCTTCTTAGCTATCTTGTTTCTTAATTTCCTTGCTCGGTTTTTCAAGTACAAATATAATTAATGCAAAGTTGTCTTACAATCAATCATACTTGCTTGACATTTTGTATATTCTTGATCACCAGAAACTTGCAGCGGCTAAAGATACCTTTAATGGAAACATGACTTATTGATAGATCATTTTGATTCCACTCTCATACATACCATATGTATTATTAATTAGTTGATATTGATATTGTACAACTGACATGATTATTGTGTAGGATTTCCGTGTTGTTTTTTATCAAGAGTTGGGATTGATATTGAAGCTAAGAGACATGATGATTGGTTGGATACATGAAGGGTTTCAGAGCTTCTTTATACAACTTAATGATGAGTTACTGAAACATGAAGGTTCCCCTTTATAACAATGTAGCATTAGGTTATATAGTTAGGGAAAACCTCTTAATAACAATGTACAATCAGATCCCTTTAATATCAATGTATTATAATTTTTTGACATGATGTTATTGGATGAAATTGATTGTTTTGGTATATATTTTTTTTCTATATTTTTGTATTATGCGTAAAAGAGTATCGTAAAGGCACGTCGTATATGCATATTGTAAATGGTTGCTGAAGTTTATGACACGCAAATGCGTGTCATATTCATTTATGACAGGGACTATAATGATACGCAATGCGTGTCCTAAACGCGCGTCGTAAGGTTACGACATGCAAATGCGTGTCGTCTTCCTTTATGACAGGGCCTTCCTTGATAAGCATTGTGTGTCGTAAATGAGCGTCGTAAATGCATGTCGTAAATGCGCGTCGTCTATACAAAAGCGTGTCATCTCTCATTATGACAGGGCCTTCCTTGACACACATTTGCGTGTCGTCTGAGCGTTTAACGACACATATTGCGCATCGTAAAAGGTTGTTTTCTAGTAGTGGTACATAACCTTGTCATAGAGGACGACATCCCCGTCATCAGCCAACCGCCTATCCTCAGGATCCTCAGTTCAATCCTCATAATTAGCTTCTTAAATAAGTTCCACAACTTGAAATTGGCACTACTTCCTTCTTGCATACTCCCTTGATCCATTGTGGTGAAACCATAACATCGAAATAGCTGATGATCCTCTATGCAGAACTACTAGTTCTTCCCCACTTAAGGTTCAAACTATCATCGTCTAATGTCGTCAACATCAAGGCCTCAGACTGGCTCAGCCAGATACATACCAACCTTGACTCTTAGAATGCATAACACAACACAAGATGATCCTTCGTATAATAATTAGTCAATCTTAAGGAAACTCCGAATTTTAGACGGAGAACTCAGAAACTTCCTCTAGCATCACCACCTCAATCTCAGCGAAATCAATCAGAATACCATTGGATTGATGAGACACTTTACGAACCGAACTTCACGCAACAAAAATTGCATTGAAGAATTTAACCATAACCTTACTCTCCCGTGAAGCTTCTAGAATTTCTTAAAGATGCAAAAACTCCTACAAACTCATCATATAATAAGACTTTACTTTAGGAATCTGCAACATCTCAAACTTCCTCCGATATACTGATCATCTAAAAACTGTGTCACCTACCCAAATTGTGATATGGCCTGCACTTAGACCGCCGAACCAAAAGAACATTTGAGCCTTGAATATTCCCTTGTTGTAAGACGGAAACGATTCACCACGAACCAAACAATACCCCCTTGCGGCAGAAACGGATATGGAGAACACCCTCCCTTTCTTTCATCTATTTCCTGACACACATCCGATCCCTTCTCCCCGAAACACGGGAGGATGGAATAACATAACCCCGTCGTAGAGGACGACATCCCCGTCATGGGTTGACCACCTATCCTCAGGCTGCAATCCTCAGGTTAATCATCACATTCGCTTTTTACATGAGTTCCATGACTCAAATTGGCACTACTTCTTCTTTCCTGCAACATTATCCCTAAACCAAAACCTCGTCCACTTGAATCAGATATTACCTTTATCCATTATGGTGAAACCATAACATTGCAATGGTTGATGATCCTCCAAGCAAAACACCTAGTTCTTATCCACTTAGGGTTCGAACTACCATCGTCTGAAGTCTTCAACATCTAATCCTTAGACTGGCTCAACCAGATACTAACCAACCTTAACTCTCAGAATGTATAACACAACACAAGATGGTCCTTCATATAGTATCGACCAATATTAAGGAAACTCTGAATCTTAGAAGGAGTCCTTGGATTGACGAGATACTTTACAAACCGAACTTCGTGCAACCAAAACTTGCATCGAAGAATTTAACCACAACCTTATTCTCCAGTGAAGCTTCAAGATGCTCAAACTCCTACAAACTCAGCATATAATAAGACTTTCCTTTCTTAATCAGGAACATATCGAACCTCCTCGGATACACCCTGATCATCTGAAAACTACGTCACTTATCCGAATTTCAACATGGCTTTCACCAAGGCCATCGAACCAAAAGAACAGTTTAGCCTCGAATATTCCCATGCTGTAAGACGGAAAGGATTCACCATGAACCGGACAATACCCAGTTGCGACAGAAACTATTGTGGAGAACACCGTCCATTTCTTTCATTTACTGCCTAACACACATCTTATCCCTTCTCCCTCAAACATGGGAGGCTGGAAGAACATAACCCCGTCGTAGAGGATGACATCCCCGTCATCGGCCGACCTTCCATCCTCAGGCCACAATCCTCGGGTCAATCATCACATTCACTTCTTACATGAGTTATGCGAATCAAATTAGCACTAATTCAAACGAGGTCTTCAACCACTTAAGGTGAACTAGATCGTACTGATATGTACACTTCATGCCTAAACTGCCATCCCCACTTGGGCACAAACGAGCACCAACTTCACACTCATCTTGAGCAACCATAACTGAAGGACCAAAAAACATGAGGAATGGCTATAACTAACCCTAATACATCACTACTCAACCACCCAACCTTCGGAACTCACGACTTCCTTGATACGCGCAGGGGTCCTATGGTTCCAGTAGTACGTGCCCATACTACCTTGCACACCTACTTGTATTTGTCTTGAAGGATCGCCACGAAACACTTAGGCCACTAGGCCCCAAGTAACTAGGGTACACATACTCCCTATACTCACTCTCTCAAGAGTGACTATCAGACCCTCACTATTGCTGGCCTTCTAACAATGCACACCCAACTCAAGAAACCTTCACTAACTTTCATCACCTTGTGTATGTTAATCATACAGAACATTGGATTCGATAGAAAGTCAAATAATTGATTCTACCCTAAGCCCACAACAAGACGAGGAATAGGACATGGAGAATACCCTCCTTTTCTTTTATCTATCGCCTGACACACATCCGTTCCCTTCTCCCTCAAACACAGGAGGTTGGAGAATCTACCTCTGTCGTAGAGAACGAAATCCCCGTCATTGGCCAACCACCCATCCTCAAGCTGCAATCGTCAGGTCAATCATTACATTCTCTTCTTACATGAGTTCCGCGACTCAAATTGGCACTACTTCGAACAAGGTCTTTAACCACTTAAGATCAAGTAGCTTGTACCGATCTATAACCTTTAGGCCTAAACTGCCATGGCCACTTTGGACCGAACGAGCACCAACTTCACACTCATCCAGAGCAACCATAATCAAAGGACCAATAACATGAGGAAGGGCTATAACTAACCATAACACATCACTACTCAACCACCCAACCTTCGAAACTCGTGACTTCCTTGATACGCATAGGGGTCCTATGGTTCTAGTAGTACGGGCCCATACTACCTTCCATACCTACCTATATTTGTCTCGAAGGATCACCACAAATCACTTGGGTCACTAGCTCCAAAGTAGCTAGGGGTACATATACTCCCTATTCTTACTCTCTCAAGAGTTACTATCAGATCCTCACTGTTGTTGGCCTTCTAACAATCTACACCTAACTCAATAACTCTGCAGTCGCCTTGTGTATGCCAATCATACATAACACTGGATTCGATAGACAGTCACATAGTTGATTCTAACCTAAGCCCACAACTAGATCCCGGAATAGGAAATAAGGCTAAATCAAACATTCGCAGGCTATAAAATCTTAGTTATCTACAACCATGATGCATATACTAGACAACTACAAGAATAATGTCAGTTTCATATAGCATAAAGCAATAAACAGTTAAACAATCAGTATACTAGACAATACCTAGGCTATAAGGCATCTCAAATATTAGGCAACTCTAACATGTAATTCCTGAAAGATCCCTAACCTATCCACTATCATGAATTTCCAAGAATTCTCGTATCAGCATATGTACACAATAACCATGGGTATTTTAGGAACAACCTTCCTCTCCAAGCGCGGAGTGACTGTACAGACCACATCTTTGCTGGCAAAACTAGAGTCGATTTAGAGATCCATGTTCCCGATACCAGGCCAACAATCAAACAAGAACATGACCAGGAACCGAGTTCATGTCTCTAACCCAACTATTTTCTTAAATCCTTTTGAAAACATTTGTGAAAATTCTCGGATCCTAATTTGAGTTTGGATTCACACTAATGTTCATCTAAATCCCTCAAACGAGGTGTCTAATACCAACTTGTAACGTCCTAAGTTCCAGAATAAAATTTTCCATTTTTAAAATAGAATAAACACCCATTTTTATGAAATTGTATTAAA